ATCCAAATCTAGTTCATATATTAGTGGGCGTGCAACTCGTGTTACGGCTTGGTCATTTCGATGGCTGAAACGTTCGTTTCTATTAAATATGCGGTGTAGGTTGGGTTGTAGTGTGCGTTGACAGCGCAGAGACGTGCAAAGGCGGCATGCAGCTACCCAATACTGAGCTTACTATTCGTGGGCATGTGACTCGTGTTACGGCTTGGTCATTTCGGCGACTAAGGCGTTTGGTTTTATTGAATTTGGGGTTTGGGCCGGGTTGTAGCGTGCCTTGGCAACAAAGAAGCCGACGAAAATGGCATGCAGTTGCCCAATACTGAACTTGCAAAGCGGCGCTCAGTGGCCAGACTTAATGTAGTTGCGGAAAACGAGATGATGCGAGTGGCAGTGTTGCACTTATGTGGGGTTGGTCTATGAAAAGGGGTAGCAACAAATGTGTTCTCTTGACTGTCTCACTTTTAATGTTTTTTTGACTTCCCGTTGAAGTTTTTGTTAATATTCGAGGCACAGAACAAACACAGAACAAACTACATATTCACTTGATTTTGCCCAAAGGCAGTAGTGCGGCCGATACAGTGTTTTGCAACGGAGCAGCCCACGTTTGTAGTGTGTAGTAGTAGTGTGCGTTGACAGCGAAGAGACATGCAAAGGCGGCATGCTGCTGCAGACGCCAAAAGTAAAGCCACGACAGCTAAACGAGTTGGCGCAGGTCTCATTTTGTTGACGCTGTATTTGCGCAGGTTGACTCTAGATTGGTGCGGATGCGAAGATTAAATTCTTATTGTGCGTCGTTCAATAGCCGTTGTTCATGGGTGTGAGTCGAGATCACGTTCAGGACCGCTCAAAATGCGAGAAAATGTTCCAAAGAAACACTGCACTAATTAGCTGCGGACGCCAGATAATAGGGGTTTGCATGTGTGAAGCGCGTGGAAAAATGTGTTGTTTGTGACGGAGCATTCCGTACTCATCACCAGTAACTCCAGTTTTAATTCAATGATGTGGAATTGGGAGACTCTGTGCTTTCCGGTCTTTTGGTCGCGATTGAGGCTGTTGAAGATAGCCTTCTGAAGCGTATATTTCGGGTACTGCTCCTTTGGTCGTGGGGGACTGCTGTACCTGCTGCCGTCGCGGTGCAACAGGTTAAAGAGCCCATCCTTGTTGGTTGCCGTTTTCAGTGCTGGGAGTGTGCAGTTGAAATCGCGTGCTGCAATAAACTATAACATGCATAAACGGAGACACTGACAGGCAGGATGACTGCGTATGAAGATGAAGATGCTGGCCTGGCCAACATTCCATATGAAGATGAAGATGCTGGCCTGGCATCCCAAGGCAGTTAAGAGTACAGTGCTTGCAGAGCTCACCGGTGGTCGTATGTACACGTCCGCACACTCCCACAAGCGGAGCAATTTCCACAAAAATGCGATTGCAACGATGCCTGTATAAGAATTATACTATGAAAACAATTTACACAATTCATCATATCGTGTAAAGAATACGAAGGCGCAATGAGAGCCGCAGAAACAGCCTAGCAAGAATGAGTCCCTAATGTGCAGCAGCCAGCATGTAAATTGCTTGAGCAAAATGACACTTGGATGTTGCCGCTAATTGCATTTGACTCTTGCGATGTAGAGTGTCCGTGGTCCTGTTGCTCGCATGTACGGGCCAGGAGTAGATCCGCAAAAAGAAGGAAGATACGTCGTAGCGGTCTACTTTTTACAGAAATGGCAATGAGCAAGTCGGTAAACAAGGAAATGATGGGAATGCCACGCAGCAGAAGCAGACGGCAACACTGTATGATTGTACGGACAATATAAATCTGTGCCTAGGAAGCCAATGCAGTGTCGTTGCTGCTAGTTGTTTATCGGGTCTTTAGCTGCTAACACACGAGTGTTGGCCTTGCGAAGTAATATGCAGAAAGAAGATGCGCAGCTCATGAACTTTTGACGCAAAAAACGTGTGGCCCACAGCAGTGGCCGGCTGGCTTTTGGGTTTTGGGAGGAGCAGCTGCCGCTGCCGCCCCAGGGCCTCACTGCTGTCACGCGGCTGCAGTGGGCACTCATCAGGGCGGAACAGCTAACTGGCACCCTTTTCGACGGGCTGCTGGACCGCAGCAACAGCAGCAAACCCCTGGGGGCCCCCCCAGCAGGGGAGGGGCCCCTCTTGTGTCGCTCTCTTAGTTTTGATTTGCCTTTGATAAGATCTCGCAGTTTGGGCTTGTGGAGTGCTCCAAAAACACCCACAGAAGGCCCAAATTTGGGACCGCACAAGGGACTGTTCTCCACATTCTGCGCAATATTCTGTCGAAAATGCAACTCTGGTTTGGCACAAATCTGATAGTGGAGGCTAGGTTTGTATAACCGCTGCTGCTAAGGGATGTACATGTATAAATCCACATACATGAAGAAGCATTGAAAAGTAAGAATCTGCACTTTTTAACTGCGTAGAAAGTAATATTAATTCACATTTGGGGCTTCAAACTTAGCTGCTTCCAGTTTGTTCCAATTTCTAGTTGTAACTGAGCAGCAAACAATGCAACTGTGATGCTCATCCAGTTCGTTCCAATTTCTAGTTGTAACTGAGCAGCAAACAATGCAACTGTGATGCTCACTTGAAGACAAAATGCGTCCCATACTTTTACTTCCGGGCTGATGTTGAGTTGAAAAGCAGCCATCAGTCTTAAGCTTAGTTCTTGCCATTCCCAATTTCGTCTAATCCCATCTGGCTTCACAGCAAGCCTACGAAGAGGCGCTAGATCCAAAGAATTGCCTTACAATTTTGGGCCTTGGGCACTGGGTCACCAGAATAAGTCTGACGGCAGCATTTTCGAGGCTTCCCAATAGGTGCAACTCATCCCAAACTCCACAGACTACGACGTGGGAAAGCGTCATGAGCCGCACCCTCTTCTCCAGCTCTTACTGATGCTGCTCCTGCTGGAATAGCAGAGCTGGCAAAGGGAAACGGTGGGTGATGCTGCATCAGCTGAAGCATCAGCAGCGGCAGCACAAATTTTAGCAGCTGCAGCTCTTTCACTTGCAGCATTTATAGCAACTACTGCAGGAGCAGCTGGCTCAAATTGTTTTCGTTACATGGCAGTTTTCAACCCTCCTTCCTGAGGCGATGAAGTAACATCTGAGACTAACACCTAGAAAGGGAGGAACTGCCTCTCCAGGCTCGAAAGTGCAGAGGCCATCAAACATCCAGGGGCGTCTCACTTCTGCAGCCTGTTGCTGCTACTTGCTGCTGCTGTTTGTCCTTGCTGCTTGCTTTCGCTGCTCGTTGCTACTCCTTGATGTCGCTACGTCCTGCTGCTGCTGCTCGGTGCTGCTTCTTGCTTCTGCTTCATTCTGCGTACTGCTGCTATTTGCCGCTGCTGCCTGCTGTTGTTTTTTGCTGGTGCTGGCTGGTTCTGCTGCTATTGCTGCTTACTATTGCTGCTTGATGCTGCTTGTTCTTCTTTGCTGCTGTTGCTACTTGCTGCTGTTTCTGCTGCTTACTGTTGTGTGCCGCTGCGGCTGCTGAGTGCTGTTCCCACGTGGTGCTGCTTTTACTTGCTGCTACTTGATGCTGCTGCTGTTTGCTGCCTCTTGCTTCTGCAGGGTGGTAGAGCTGCTGGCTGCTGCTGCTCGCTGCTGTTGTTTGTTGCGGTCCCGTATTGCTGCTTCTTCGTTCTGTCGCTTACTGCTGCTGCTTGCTTCTGCCGCTTGCTGCTGATACGTACTGCTGCACGCTATTTCCTGCTGCTGCTGTCTCCTGCTCGCTTCTGGTCTGTGCCGCTATTTGCTACTGCTGATTGCTGCTGCTGCCTGCTGCTGCGTGTGGCTGTCGTGGCATTCTGTTGTGTGTTGCTGCTATTGCTTGCTGCTGCCTTTTATTTTTTGCTGCTGCTGCTGCTTGCTGGTGCTGGCGCCTGCTGCTACTCCGTGCTGCTTGCGGCTGTTATACCGTGTTTCGGAGAAAATTTTTCGGGCGGCGTGTATGTTACAGACAGGATGGTAGTTTTGCATCACTTCTGCCCAATTTCCGAATTTCTCAGTTTTTTCCCTACACCAGAAGTGACCCCAATTTCCGAATTTCTCTGTTTTTTCCCTACACCAGAAGAGACATCCATATGCGTCGCAGTGAGCTCAGACCGCTGCAGTTCTTCAACGAGCAGCAACAGCAGCAGAAGCGGAAGAAGTAACTTGGTTGAAACTTGTGGACATCTGAATGCCATGAGGCTGGGATTTGGACTGCAGCGACAGATGCGGAGTGCTGGGTCAAGACGCCTGCGCCAGTAGCAACAGCATGAAAAATAGACTCACCAAAATATTTGCTGCAGTTACTTGGTGCTGCTGTCTGTTGCTGCTTTTTGTTACTGCTGCTGCTTCTTGGCTGTGCTGCTCGGTGCTGTTATTTTGTGGTGCTGCTTGCTGTTGTTCTTTGGTTGGGCGTCTCGAAGCTGCTTCGTGTTGCTGTTGCTTGGTGGTGGTGCTCTCTACTTCTGCTTGGTGATGTTGCTTGGTTGGCTGTGTGCCTTGATCTTTCTGGCCAGTGCGAACAAAATTTAGCGTTGGTGAACAGTGTGAGCAGCAGTATTCAGATGTTTCTGGCGCTTCTGCTTGTGCAAAGGCCAATTTAGCTGCTTCTGCTTGACAGTTCTACTTCGTGCATGATTGTATTATTGTCTGGCTGCTACAGCAAGCCAGTGTTTCTTGCTGAAGCGCTAGTAGCATCTGCAACAGCAGCACGGCGAATGCGTTTGTATGTGTGGAAAATCACTTCAAGGGAACGAAGGTGATACGTTTTGGTAGGACACAGATGCATGAAGACGAGTGCGGCGAAGAGCAGCATCAACTGTATACAACCAGAAGCAGAAAGAAAGCCAGCCATACCAGACTGTTTGCTGTTTCTTCGTGCTGTTACTGCAGCGCAAACCACAGTAAGAGGTCGTCTGGATCATGAATGCTGGTGAGAGAGTATTTGACTCGCAGAGGAGGTTCACAGCAATCGAACGAAATCGGCAAGAATGCAGGAGTAACAAGAGCAAAAGGCAGCCACGCAGCAGCTAGCAAACACAGGTGACGCAGCCTCATTGTATTCATAGAACATCACCGTGTGTGTTGGAATATCCTTTGTTGCGAATGATCCCTCGCGCACGATTTCCCTCTCAGCCACTTGGGGGCTCGTGAGGACCGCTCAAATTGGAGCAAAAGTGTTTGAATGGTTGACACTCTCTGAAACTTTCAAGGATTAAATACTTTATTTCATCTACATTGGTGCTCTTGGGAAGGGGTACTTGTCTTACAGTTTGGTCATTTTCGACGACTAAGACGTCTGCTTTTCATTGAGTTCGCAGTGTGCGTTGGGTTTTACCGTTCGTTGGAAACACAGAAAGAGGCAAAAGCGGCGTTCGCTGGATATTGAGCTTGGAAAATGGCGCACAGCCGCCAATTCCAGCGATAGTGTCGAAATTGAGATGATGCAAGAGGCTATTGCGCACTTCTGGGAGACCAGTATACAAAAAAGAATGTCGACACAAGCGTTCTACACCACAGCTGTTTACAAGCTCCTTGGCTGCCTCTATATACGCTTGCCATTCCCTAGTGAACGTTCTGTTCATATTTGAAGCATAGAATAAGCTGCCTGTGCACGTGAATTAGGCCAGCAGCATTCGCGCATCTTATAGTGTCTTTTGCAATGATGCCGCGCATATTTCATGCGGGTAGCAACAATAGAGTTGCGAGAGCTGAAGGAATTGGCGTAGGTTTCATTTTCTTGACGTTTCGTGTGCGATGGCTCTGAAATGATGTGGGTTCGCAAATTAAAGTCTCAGCAGGCATGGCTTACTCGCTATTCGTGGTTGCGCATTGGGATCACGTTTAGCGCCACTGCGAGTGTAAAGCAGTGTTTCTGACGAATACTACAGTAATTAGTCTTTCCGCAGCATCAGACAACGGTTTGCATAAAGACGTAGAGATGGGGGACGTAGAGATGGGGGAATTCCTGCTTCCTTGGCTTTAGGTTGCAAGTGGAATTGTTGTCGGTGGCCTTCTGAAGCGTATAGTCTTGATAGTGCTCTGTTGGTCGTGCATCATGGCGGGTTGCTTCTGCACTTTCTGCACGTGCGGCTTCGGTTTAATGCCGACTAGTGGTAGTTAGTAGGTTTCGATTCAAAGACAGCTTATACGCTACGTTGATACAACAAACGGACGGAAGCACATAATGGTGCCTAAATACCGTACTTTGTGGAGTCATTGGTAACTATACTACAAAAACGCTTTGTTTGTCCATATCGCATATTGTGGAGGATATGAAGGCGCACTTAGAGCCCCGAAAAAAGCCTAGCAAAAAGCACGTCCCTAACGCACAAGAGCCAGCATGCAGCATCGCTGCAAGGGAATGGCATTTCGATGTCGCTGCTAATGCCTTTTGACTCTGGCGGTCTAGAGTGTTCTTCGCAAACAGCATGTGCATATGGGCGTGGTCTTGTCAATATTATCTGTGTGCGAGAGGAGTGAAGCAGCAACAAGGAAAACGGTGCTGCATTGCGGCGTACTTTTGACACGAATGCCATTCAGCGAGTCAACCAAGAAGAAAGTGACAGGAATGTCTAGCAGGAAAAGTAAACAACCGCACTGTATGATTATACGTGCCACATTCCTTTGTCTCTAGAAAGCTAATGAATTGTCGCTGCCAGTAGTCGCTCATCGGGTGTTCAAGGACTACCACACGGGCAATGAACTTTCCAGGTGATATGCCGAAGGTTAACATCCTTGTTGCTCCACATTTTGCTGCACGTTTATCGCAAAAGTGCAGAGATGTGCTGCTCATAAGCTCTTGACGCAAAAGGAGTGTGGCAGCTAGCAGTGGCTGCGTGTTTTCTGGGCTGTGTGAAGGGGTCTGTGAAGTGCTCTAACAGCGCCCTTGTACGGCTTGCCTAGGGCATCCTACAAGGGAACCTTATCCTCATTCCGAGCAACATTATATCGGAGAATTAAGACAGAAGTAGCACGAAACGGACCTAGGGAGGCAGGCTTGTGTAATAGCTGTTCGTATGCTGCCCTCAACAGGTATAGGAGGAGGCACATACACGTATACACACATGCAACTTAAAGGCAGGTATACACAAATGCGACTTGTGTACAGCTGGAGATAAATGCACATGATGGGATACTTAAAAAAAAGAACTTTTACTTTCTAACTGAGTAGCAAGCCGCAGAAAATCTTTTTGAGGACTTTGAATCAAGTTGTTTCCTCATCGTTCCAACTGCCTGCCGTTATTGAGCATCAAATAAAGCAAGCGTGTTACCCAAATAAAGCAGAGCCTAGGAAGCAGAGCGACGCCTAACTTGCAAAATCTGCTGCCTTCAATTGCTTTTCTTGGCATGGGAGCTTCTCCCCAGCCCTCCAGCTAGTTTAGGCGATCACGAAGGTACAGAGAACAGGGTAAAAGCTGCGTCTTCAGTTACGGAGGGAGGTGGACAAATCAGCTAGCCACTAGGGCTGCCTCTCTGCTGCAGTGTGCTGCTGGAGCGTGTTGCTGCTGGTTGCTGCTGGTGCTGCTGCTTCCTTACGACTGCTGCTGCGTGCTGGTTGTGTTGCTCGTTGGTGCTGTTGCGTGCTGTTGCTTGCCGTTGCTGCTTGCTGCCTCTGCTCTCCGGCGTTTCTGCTTTCCTTTGCAGCTGTGTACTGCGGCTTCTCCTTGGTGCTGCTGCCTACTGCTGCCTGATGCTCGCTGCTGCTGCTGCTGCTGCTTGTTCGTGCTTCCGGGTCCTGCCGGCGGCTGCGGCTGCTGCTTGCTGCCTCTGCTCGGTGCTGCTACGTACTGGTGCTGCTTGCTGCTGTTGCTTGCTGCTGCCGCTGCTTGCGGCTTGGCGGTTTCTGTTTGCTGTTGATGCTGCTTGGTGGGTCTTCTGACTGGTGCTGCTGTGTACCACCGCGGCTTGCTGCTGTTTCTACCTGCTGCTTGCAACTGCTGCTCGCTGCTGCGTAAAGTTGCTGCTTGTTGCTGCTTTCGGCTGCTGTTGCTTGCTGCTGCTGCTGGTGCTGCGGCTTGGTGC